GTGTGTGTGTGTGTTTGTGTGTGTGTGTGTGTGTGTGTGTGTGTGTGTGTGTTTGTGTGTGTGTGTGTGTGTGTGTGTGTGTGTGTGTTTGTGTGTGTGTGTGTGTGTGTGTGTGTGTGTGTGTGTTTGTGTGTGTGTATGTGTGTAGTTGTGTATGTGTTTAATAACGACGATTTTTTATATGTTGTTGCTCTGTTTTATATTTAATTAATCACTGGATTTCACTTAAAAATCCTGCTTCATATTGTATTAATTTTGATAACACAACTTTGTATCAATAAAGTGCTATCTATCCATCAATCTATCCATCAGTGTATATATATAAGAGGAAATCACGCCCCTGGTCTGTAGAAGACCACGCCCAACTTGGGTTGATAAGGTTTGGGCTGATAAGCTGACCACGCCTTTGGGGAGGCGGCTCCCTCTGGCTTTGATAGATGGGGCGCCACACCCATTGTGTGTGTGTGTGTGTGTGTGTGTGTGTGTGTGTGTGTGTGTGTGTGTGTGTGAGAGAGAGAGAGAGAGAGAGAGAGAGAGAGAGAGAGCCATTCATTCCGTCAGTCAGTCAGTCAGTCAGTCAGTCAGTCAGTTAGTCAGTCAGTCAGACAGTCAGACAGTGAGCGGCTGACTGACTGTCTGTCTCTCTCTCTATCTGACTAACTGCTTGTGCATGTGTTTTTGTACATGTGTCTGCCAGTCCAATCGACTTCCACGCCCACTAGAAGCACCCTCCCCTTGTCTTGTGTCCCAAGCTCCAACATAATCAAAACCGATTCAATAATGTTTACCTTCATCGTTGCATTGAAAAGTACACTCACATCATCCATCTTTCCTTTTACTTTCACAAACAAACAAACACAAAAAAACAAGTACAACGAACTAAAGGGACCAAACACACACCTCTTCCGATTTTAAATGAAGCCAAGAATTAGACGAAGGAATGCAAATCATATCAAATTAATCCTGGGTTGTTGACATGACTCATCGGAAGAGATGCGCCCCATGAATGATCGAGTAATTAGGAGAAGGGGGGGTTGGGGGGTGGGGGGGTTGTAGGGGGGATATTGATGTATTCCTAGTGGCGCTGTTGTATCGTAAGTTGTATTTGTGATGTATAATGAGTGTGTTGTATGATTGTATTCTGGAAGGCCTGTTGTGGTGCATGGTTTTGTTGGCTGTTATATTTACATTGATTTTGGTGTACTTTTTTTTTTGGTATTGAAAAGGTAAATTAAGGTGTTTTTTTTTTTTTTTTTTTTTTTTTTTTTTTTTTTTTTTTTTACGTACAATGTTTATGACTAAGGTGTTCTCTTTGTCTAACTTTTTTGTTTATGATTCGAGGGCTGATTTCTTTCTGTCTGTCTGTCTGTCTGTCTTTCTCTCTCTCTTTCTCTCCCTCTCCCTCTCTTTCTTCCTCTCTTGTTTATGATTTGAGGGCTGATTTCTTTCTTTCTGTCTGTTTGTCTGTCTGTCTGTCTTTCTGTCTGTCTCTCTCTCTCTCTCTCTCTCTCTATCTATCTATCTATCTCTCTCTCTCTCTCTCTCTCTCCCTCCCTCCCTCCCTCCCTCTCCCTCTCTCTCTCACTCTTACTCCTTCCTCTAATCAATTCTCTCTCCCCCCCCTCAGGAGGTCAGCGGCTACGCCCCGAGCAGCCTGCGCGGCGCCCCCCACGGCTCCCACTACGGCGAGCAGTACCCGAGTCCTTATCCGGAGTCGTACGTGGATCCGGCTTATTCGGACCCTTACTCGGGCGACCGGGGACCGACTCGGGCTTCGGATCACAGCTACGCCCGACTTACCCACCCCTCCCACCCCTCCCACCCGTCCCTCGCCTCCCACAATTCCCACAACTCCCACGCCTCCTCCAGCCCGCATCTCCCTCCGCCATACGCCCACGCCCATCCCCACGCCCATACTCACTCGCATGCCCACACGCATAGACATCCGCAGTATTTCGTTCATTATAATTTATAAAGTGATTTTCGGAAGTTTTTTTCAAGATTTTTTTAAAGATTTTTTTGAGATTTTTGGATTTTTTTTCGGTTTCTTTTTTTCTTTTCTTTTTTTTTTTTTTTTGGTCCTATGGATCAGAAAGGAGAATGCTTTTCTTCGTAATGTGTATATAGAAAGGATATTGGGATAATCCAAGATGGCGGATTTTGTGCGTGTGTATGTGTGCGTGTGCGTGTGTGTGTGTGCGTGCGTGTGTGCGTGTGTGTTTGTAAATATCAAATCACCCTTTGGGCATTGGCGAGGGGGGGGTAGGGGGTAAAAGGACAGATAATTGTCTATTTGGTAAATAGTTTTGAAAAAAAACACGACTTTTTAAGTGTTAATGAAAAAAAAGTTGGTTTGCTGTGAGAAATAAGAAAGGAAAAAGGTATTTAAATATCTCCTCGCTCTCTCTCTCTCTCTCTCTCTCTCTCTCTCTCTCTCTCTCTCTCTCTCTCTCTCTCTCTCTCTCTCTCTCTCTCTCTCATCCGTCATTCATCTTGATAATGACGTCAACAAAGAGATTAAGGAAAGAGTAAACGAGAGGAGGGAAGTAAAGAGAGAATAAAGAAAGAGAAGAAAAGAAAAGAAGAGAAAAGAAGAGAAAAGAAAAGAGAAGAGAGAGCTAGAAAGAGAGAAGAAAAGTGAAAAGAGGAGAAAAGAAAAGAGGGAGCTAGAAGGAGAAAAGAAAAGTGAAAAGAAGAGAAAAGAGAAGAGAGAGCAGAAGAGCAGATAGAAAGAAAAGGAAAGAAAAGATTCGTGAAGCAAGTGAATTTTCCAAGTGATATTTTTGACCGTGGGAAAAAGGGTCAAATTAAAGGAAAAAATAGTGAGATTAAAAAAAAAATGATAAGGAAAAGGACAAATATAGAGACGCGAAATGTTCTTATCGAGGAAAATAGTGACACACTAAGGGGAAAAAAAATATATAGAAAGCTCTTTTTTAATCCCAAGTGCTCTGGAAAAAATAAGCAAGTTTACATTGTCTTTTGTAAAAGCAACTGAAAACAAACTTACAAGAACAATGAAGACAGAAAAGTGATAAAGAAACACTAGACGGAAAAAGAAAAGAAAAGAAAAATAATCACAACACGAAAGAAAATTTGTAACAACCTATTACGAGAAGGTACATTCGACAGTGAAGAAGTGCATTCGACGGTCGACAGGTGCATTCGACGTCCCACGAGTGTCTAATTTTCCCCGTCGCGTCACAAGGAGATTCAGAAAGTCTTCCATTTACGAGACAGAAAAAGAAGAAAAAAATATATAGAGAGAAAGAGCCAGAGAGAGAAAGAGAGAGAAAGAGAAAATAGATATATTCTCTCTCTCTCTCTCTCTCTCTTCTTAAGACTCTCGGATCACAGGAAGATCATCGAGAAAGAAAGTTGATTAATACTGAAAGAAAGTTGATTGATACTGAAAGAAACTTGATTAATATTGAAAGAAAAAAGGTTGTTTGTGTTGGTGATTTTAAGATTGTTAAAAGAGACAATCATTCTTACGTTACTGATTAGTGTACGAAGGATCTTTTTATTATTATTATTAAACTTGAGTTGAAAGAAATATGAATGAAAATAATAATAATAATGATAAAAAATAGACAATTATCAAAATATACGTGATCTTGGGTGTGTTTCATCCTCCATTTTATCCCCGCTATTTTTTCTTTTTCTTTTTTTTTTCGTTTCTCGGTTTTATTTTAAGTATTATTTCGTAAGTCACGTGACTCTGTGCTTGTTAATGATAGCTTACAGCCAAAACGAGAATGCCAAAGTTTAAGATTTTTTTTTAATGTGTGCGAAATAAATAAAACACTTTAAGATAAGTCTTTGAAAATTGGAGGAAAGAGAGAAAAAGAAAGAGAAAGAGAGAAGGAAAGAGAGACAAGGATTATTGTTATTATTCTATCTCTTTCCTCTTTTTCGGAACTCAAAGAGGGGAAGGAGGAGGAGGAGGAGGAGGGAAAGAAAGAAAAAAAATAATGAAATTAAGGGAAAGGTGCCAATTTTCATATGTGATGATAATGACGCGTTAGAACGGGCTAGCGCGGGGTTTGGGAGAACGATCGCTTTCTGACTCCTCCCCTCCCCTCCCCTCCCCTCCCCTCTTCCTTTATGTGTCGTGGAAGAGAAGAAGAGGAAGAAGAAGCAAGCAAGAAAGAAAAAGAAAGAAAGGAGGAAGAGGAAGAGGAGAAAAAGTCTTATAGAGATTCTTACGGGCATTGTGTTTCTTCTTATTTGTAAATATATATATTTAAGAATCTCTAAAGCGAAAGTTTAAAAAATAAATAAAAATGGTGCTGAATGCTTATCAAAGTAAGAGATAGGAAGGGTCAGCTTTAATATGATAAAAAAAACTAAAGAAACTAACATATAAGTGGTGGTTTGTTGTGAGAAAGCGAGCCTATCTGAGATTGTGTTTTGAATTTGTATCTAAAAAAAACTAGACAAACGAATTAAAAAAAAGAAATGTATATTGTAAAACTGTGATCCTTAATAACAAGAATGATCTAGTATCGAAAAGTTTTTTTTTTATTATTATTGTTACTTTTAATCACTGTTACATACATATTTATAGAACCATTGTAAGTTATCTGTTCACCTATTCTTTTCTCTATTATTATTATTATTATTACTAGTACTATTAATATTATTATTATTATCATTATCATTATTATTATTATTATTATTATTATTATTATTATTATTATTATTATTATTATTATTATTATTATTATTATTATTATTATTATTATTATTATTATTATTATTGCTATTTAAGATTACATTTGCCCAGTTGGTTCAGAAAAGATATATAAAGAAAAGAAAATATAGTGAACTGTGATTTTTAGGATGCGTCCAGTAGTGTTAAACATTCTCAAATACAACCGCTGAATAAAGCATAATAAATGCATTGTTTGCTTTGATTTTTTTTTTTTTTTTTTTTTTTCTTTTTTTTTTTTTTTTTAAGAGGAAGGGAAAATTTTGAGGAAAAAAAATGAGTGGACTTTTGCTATTATTTATTGTCGTTTTGTTACGAATAGGCTGTATATACATATATATATATATATACATATGAATTATGTATGTACATAAACAAACGCGTACACAAGACCACTTAAACACTGACACAAGTTTATTCAATCACATATCAAAAGATTCAAAGACAAATATAAATATAATAAAAAAACACAAGCATGGAAAACCATTTATATAGACAAACAAGCAGACACACACGCGCGCACGCACACACACACACACACACACACACACACACACACACACACACACACACACACACACACACACACACACACACACACACACAAACACACACAAACACACACACACAAACACACACAAACACACATACACAAACAAACACACACACAAACACGCCATACACACATAGCATCACACATAAAAAAAAAAACATACACAGAAATGAACGCACGCACACACACAGAAAATAAAAACAAAAAACAAAATAAAGAAATAAAACAGAGAAAAAAAAGTGTGTACACGCTGCCTCCGTGTGTGCGTGTGGAAGAGCCTGTGTGCGTATGTGTGTGTGTATATAAGAGAGAGAGACCCTGAACGTAGGCCTGTTAGTGTCCTTATGTCCGCCTCCGTTTTAGTTATCTTCCTCCTCGTCTGTTCTTTAATTAATTGTGTGTTTGTGTCTATTATCGTTTTGTGTTTTGTGCATTTTTATTTTATTTTTCTCTTAATTTGATTTTCATTGATTTTTTTTTCTTTCTTTTTTTTTGTATTTGTCATAGTTTTTTGTTTTTTTGTTGTTTTTGTGAATTTTTGTTGTTGTTTTTTTGTATCTTTATCTTTTATTTGTTGATTTGGTTATTTATTACGATTGTTATTATTTCTTTGTTATTTTTTTTCATCTTCCTGAACTTTATCAACTTTTTTTTTCATTACATTAACTATTTTTTCCAATATTCTTCACCATCGCTTTCATATCACTTTAAATTCATCACCATCATCATCATTTTCCTCATTCACCATATACATCACGTGTCCTTCTGTTCCTGGCGTATTTACCATACCCATCTTTATCAAATATTCCTCGTTATTCCTAACATTCCTTGGCCAGTAACTTCTCAAATACCTTTTTTTCATCTCTTTTCGTTTTCTTTTTTTATTTTATTATTATTATTATTATTTTTAAAATAAGACCTTACCAAGCTACCTCTAAGCTAGGACGGCGGACGGGGTACCACGTGGCAGGCGATACTCGACCTTATGATCTAGTCAGATGACTCAAAGATTTGGTTTAAAAAAAAAAAAAGGAATAAAACTGCTTTTCGCTTTTGCTTATATAGTGATAACATATATATCAACAACTTTTAAACTGATCTATTTTTGTATAATTAGACATGTGTAGGTATTATTTTCTACTGTGTACTACTTGAATAAAAAAAAAATAATGTAGTTGATATCGACACATTAGTGGAATAAGACGATGGAAAAAAAACACACACGAAAATAAGCCGTATGATTATAGTAATCGAGGGTCAAATTTCGCTGCAGGGGTTCACAGCGTGGAAGTGAGTTGCCAGTTACTCTTTTTTTATTATTATTATTATTTGGAGTTGCCAGATGCCGCTTTTTGCAGCTAACCCCTTACCCCTCCCTCCCCCCCCTCATGGCGATACATGCCAATCACAGTAATAAAATGTACAAAGTTATTTATATATGAATTTTATTGCTTAAGACAATTATATTATGTGTTTTGCGTGTACATACTTGAGTAGGTGTTAAAAGAAAAGAAAAATATATGTAAGTTACCTACTGTTATTATAACTGCGTATTGAACCTTCCATGTGATTATTTAATAACAACATAAAAGTGTGTGAGTGGATTTTTCATCCAAAGCAAATATATATATATATATATATATATATATATATATATATATATATATATATATATATATATATATATATATATATATATATTTGTATGTATATATGTATGTATGTATGTATGTATATATATATATATATATATATATATATATATATATATATATATATATATATATATATATATATATATATATAGTGAATGCACAGTTAGTATTATATGTTGTATATAACAATTACCTAAAAGCCCCTATGATAATTTACCTAGATGTCCTATTGAAATATAAAACCATGAAAGATCCTGTTGTTTCAAAACCCTCTCTACATAACTCCTACGAAGACACTGACGATGATAAGAACAATCTTAGCAGTTACCATGAAGCTTAAGATCGGGTTCATGGTAGAGGTAACACTATTGGAGAAATGAATAAGGATGATTGATATATACGATTAACAAACAAACAAATATTGCGAGATGAACAAACAAACATACAAATAGTGATGATGTTTTTATGACTGGAATCAAAGTTGCAGCGAAATATTTGAAAAATAGTGAACATAGAATAATGATAATCCTATTTAATGGCAATAGTAGTAGTAATGATAAAAGTAAGCCTAACGAAAA